CCATCCATGTGTAGACGGAATATTACCCATAAACAAATACATTTTGGGAAAATCTATTTATGGGATGTTATACATGACATTTGAGGGCCCATTTCTAAAATATTGGCCATTATAGTTACAGTTTCGACCTACATATCAAAGTTGTGATTTTTCAAATGGAATGCCTCAAATTTGCTCACAAAGCTGATTTTGACAGTTTGTAACTAATCAACAATTTATTTGTTTCCAAGGATGATGCGATATTTTTTAGAATGAAGCCGTTTCATAAAAGACGTGCTAATAACCGAAAAAATAGCCGCTTATGTGTCTGGTATTAAAAAAGCTTCTAAAAATTAAATCCAAACTTGCACAAAAAAAACAGGGTGATGCATTTGAAATTTTTTTAAAAAAGTACAATTCGCGTTTTTGACCACCCTGTATGAGCAAAAATGAAAATTCGAAAAAGTAACAGATAAGATAAAAGCTGAGGTTTGTAAGTTTTTTTTGATACAAAATTCAGCACTCCAAATTTCAAATTGGCGGAATGAGGGGTTGCCGAAGTGGACGGTTTTTCTGGACAAAAGACCTTACATCTCAGTATCTAATTACCTAAACCCCAAAGTATGTTATATCTATCTTTTTCTTTTGAATTGGTTTATCCAAATATGCAACATAATTTCAGGCATTCCATTTAAAAAATTACAACTTTAATATGTAGGTCAAAGTTGGAACACCCTGTACAGTTGCCAATATTTTAGGAATGTGCCCTCAAATGTCATGTATAACATGTCATAAATAGATTTACCCAAAATGTATTTGTTTATGAGTAATATTCCGTCCACACATAGATGGGCTGTCATGTATATTATGAACATAATTAACCTGCTCTTTGCCCATCCGACCAAACACAGCCAACCATGGACAGCTGTTTTGTACTTTTTGACTACTCCTCAGCATGGTCTAGGCTTGGGTGTTTCTCACAACGGATGAGAACATAGCAAGTATACGCTAACCAAAGTGTGTGATCTATCGTGAAGCGCCATCTACCACTAGAATCGTCCAGTGGAAACGGTGAATCGCAGACAACCGGTTATATCTGCTCAGATCTCAGTCCACGAATTGGAGGCCCAGTCACCACGTGTCCGCTAAATGGCGACGATTCTACCTCTGTAGTAGCAGTGGTTTACTTGGCATTGAACAAAATAAGCCATAGGCTTGGGTCTCTCTATATGAGCATCCTATAGCTATAGCGCCATCTATGAGACACTGATATTTTCATAGTAGACTTCTAATTATACTAAGTGACATATAAATCCGAACACCCAGTTTAAATGGTTTTATTTTAATAAAATTTTGTATAAGTACTTAATGAAGCATAATAAGTAAATGATAAAAATTTCAAAATGATTGCACTGCTTTAAAGCCCTTTGACCTTTAATAATGTGTGAATGCACCCTGATGTGCTACGCATTCTCCAACGCGCCTAGGCATGCTTCTGATCAGGTGGTCAATGTCCTCCTGTGGTATCTCATTCCAGGCAACCACCAACTCCTCTCGAAGTGCTTCTAGAGTCTGAGGAGGACGTTGCAAATTGAGAAATCTCCTACCCATAATATCCCACACGTGCTCAATTGGGGATACGTCGGGAGATCTTGGTGGCCATGGTAACAATGTGACATCATTATGTTGAAAGAAGTCTATTGTGACTCTTGCAACATGTGGTCGGGCATTATCTTGTTGGAAAGTTGGATCTGCCAGGGTGTCAAGATAGGGTAAAAGATGGGGTTCTAGAACTTCGTGGATATAACGCTGCGCGTTCATGTTACCTCTGATGAAGATTAAAGGTGACCTGGAACCATAAGCTATAGCACCCCAAACCATAACTCCAACAGTGTGATGAACATGTCTTTCAACAAAAAACTGTGGATTCCTCCTTTCACCACGTCGCCTTCTAACCCTGGCACGACCATCGTGCATTCCTAAACAAAATCGAGACTCGTCACTAAAGACAATACTGTTTCATTCCTGATCCCAGAGTGACCGTTGTCTGCACCACTCAAGGCATTACGTCGGTGTTATCGAGTTAAAGGGAGGACCCAGTGTGGCCGGTATGAAAACAAGCCAAAACTTCTCATTCGTCGGTAAACACTTCGCATGCCAATAGGTCTTCCGTGTTCTGCAAACCATTCATTTGCAATGGACCTGGTAGTGGAGAAACGGTCCCTTAAGGCCAATAATCTTAGGCGGCGATCTTCACGATCTGTTGTTCTACGGCGGCGTCCAGTGCCCCTTGCTCTTTGCGTACGGCCTTCTCGAAGCCATGCCTGACAACACCTAACCACAGTGTCTACACTTCTTTGCACTCTAACTGCAATTGCTCGAAAAGAAAGTCCAGCTTCCCGAAGTCCCACTATACGGCCCCTATCAAACTCACTAAGTTGACGAAATCGTGCAGGTCTCCGTACTCTAGGCATCGTAACCGATCGTAAAGGATGTCAAGAACCAAAATCCGCCAACGTTGATTTTTTACTGCGGCTGAATTATTCATTTTTAGAGCGTTAGTGAATTAAAAAAAAGCAGTATAAAAACGGGAATGTCCAACTGATAAGGCTGAAAATTTTTTCACTTGTTATTTACAGTAAGATAAATACATTCACCAACTTTTATTAAAATAAAACCATTTAAACTGGGTGTTCGGATTTATATGTCACTTAGTATATTACGGAGAGGAAAAAGACACCTGTGACAAATTCGCATAGATGACGCTGCGGTATCTCATTTCATCTCGAATAATTAATCAATGCTATTATTTTCAAACCCCCTTTTAATGAATCTGCATGTTGCCAGGTCCTAAATTGAATGATAAATTGTTAAAACAATTTTTTTTAACAAATTCCAAAAATAGTCTTCGAACTTTTCTCTAAAGTTGAGAGATTTTGCCCCTATGCTGCATCTTGAAATGGTCAAATTACAACTTTAGTTGGCCATATCATCATCAAATAAGCGAATAATAATGTAATTTAAGTACTTACCTGTAAAACACTTTCTGAGCTCCACGTTTCTTGAAGTTTTGGTCGGTATTTGGGTGATCCGCATAGTGCTTGAATATCTTTTGCCGTAAAGCATTTTGTTACTAAATGAGAATTGTTAGATGTTTTACTACTATTAATTGCCAGCATGTTGACATGTAGGCAAAGCGATCTCAGCGCCTCTATCAGTAGGTAATGTAATTATTTTACTTTGATCAAACATTTCAGGAATCACACGCACATTCAGTTGATCATAACGTTAAGCGATTTGTTATCATTGTTCTGGTCAACGCAAATTATGATATGGTCAATGAATTGTTCGATCATTTCATGAAATGGTCAATTCTACGATATGGCCACTACATATACCTTGAGCGCGCACTTGATTGGCTATTAAAAAACAAAGATTTACAATGACAATACCCCCTAAAATAATTGTTAATTGATGTTTGAAGAAGATTCGAAACTTTGACAGCATTAAAATTTTGCTTTTTCATATTGTTTTTTGGTATCGAAAATTGCATATTTTGCATTTTTCAAAATACTAAATAGCTTATATCTCGAAAACTATCAACTTTAGAGAAAAGCTTAAAGTACGATTTTTTGTTCAGAATGATCCAAAACGATCATAAAAGAACGCTGTCCGAACCGATAAAATAATGGGCTTGGCAACACGCAGATTCATTGTAGGCACTATTTTTTGAATAAGTGGAAACAATCGAATGTATGTGACATTCCGTTAATATTTCCAAATATAGTGAAACTCACATTAATAGAAATATTATTCCAGGAACTGTTAGATTAGTAATTCAGCCGTACCTGCAGAACGGCTAAAACGTTATCCATAAATCGCAAAATTCTTAAAATCCATCAAAACATAATAAAAGTCAGATCCGGTAAAGGCCACTTGACTATATATTTTTTACAACCATTACATAGGGTAATAACAAAGTAATAGTACTCGAAGGCGGTATTTCTAGAAAATCGGCTGTAAAGCCATGTTTATTCAGTCATAAGCCATTAATGATGACTTGACACACAATGACCGCCAGAGATACACTTCTATTTGGGTTCCAGGAATCCCTCGGTCATCGAGTAACACCCCAAGCCACTCGAGACGGCTATTGTTATTCTATTTAGGGTGCAGTAGCGTCCATGCGGACATAATCAAGGGTACCAAGTACATTTAGTTACAAGAACCTTAGTAGTCCCACCTGACTCCAGTGCTTCCTTCTCTCACCAGCAGACCGACAAGCAGGAATTGTAACTATGGCACCTGACATAACGTCGTATAATGAGAACATCAATAAACATTTTTATGAACAAAGCTTAAAAGAAAGTTTCATAAGGTAATAGCGGCGTTAAGTAGGTTGACCGCTTTTCCCACGCAATGTTGTCATCAATTCACTAAAGGCTCTGCACCAGTCTGAGAAAAAAATAACCACAAACATGTATAACCAAAAATGTCAAATGGATCAAGTCAGTAAAACAAGCCTCTATAGTTAGTCCCAGCCCGTCCTTTATAACTGCGTTGCGTGCTAGAAGTTTCACCGCCTGCCCTAGTTATCGAGGTATAAGATTGTTATTTCGAGTTTGACAGCTCAGTCACCATTATGACCACTAGAGGCTGGCGATTTTGGCGGTACAGTAGAAGTAGTCTACTCGCCATTGAACAACTAAACATTCTGCTTTCGTCCGTCCGGCCTCAGACATCCAACCATAGTCAACTGTTTCGTGCTTTTTTGCAACTCATCAGCACGGTCTGAGCTTGGTGTCAGGTAGGACAACGAACGAAAGCATAGCAACTACCTGAGGTATAAAATCTATCGAATACATGACATTTAATGATAAAGGGGAGCTGCTAATATTTAGTTATTACTATTGATCAACTGAATATTATAAACAGCTAAGGAACTATACAAAGCATGCAAATTATCCGAGAAAAAATACATGTTTTAACTTACTCTCAACAAAGAAAGGTAAAGAATTTTGGAACACTTCCATAAAGCTCAACATAACATGCAAGAAAACTCACTTGACTATACCCGAACACTTACAAAATGTAAATGACATACACAATCACTTCCACAGACCGATAATTTACCAGACACTGCCTCTCAAGAATTAATCAATTTTTACAAAAACAATATAAACACTAACCAGTTTAATCAAAATTATAAGTAATATCTCATCAAATGCCATTGGAGAGGATGGTTTCTCTATGAGAGACCTAAAGCTATGTATTCCATTTTGCACGAATGCCTTGCTGAATATAATTGACACATGTATTTTGGAGGGATTATTCCCAAAAATATGGAAGAAAGCTATTGTTAAACCCTTACCAAAAATAGCAGAACCTAAAGAATTTACAGACTTACAGCCTATTAGCATATTACCTGCTACATCCAAAATATCAGAAAGACATATTTATAATCAAATTAGTTTTTTTTTTGTGACTCAAACGATATCATACCCGATAGTCAACCCGGTTTTAGGAAAAACTTTAGCACAAGTACATCATTAGTGTTAACATCTTGGATGATATTATACATCACCAAGAACAAAAAAAGATAGTACGTGCATGGTACTTCTCGATTTTAGTAAAGCGTTCGACACTCTAAATCATCAAATGTTACTAGCGAAATTACATTCCCAGATGCTCCGTAAATCTAATAAAAACATATTTATACAACCGTTCAAACTGCGTCATGTTAACAAATGATTCCACTATTTACAAAACCGTTTTTAAACCTATAAAAAGAGGAGTCAAGGTTCAATTTTATCTCCTTTGCTATTTTCAATCTACGTATCTGACATGTTCAAATCCGTAAAATTCGCAAAGATAAAACAATAAGCAGATGACTCACAAATATATCTCCCTTTAAATAAAAACACAATCCATATTGCCCAACAACAATTAAATTCAGATCTCCAAAGTATTGACATATTTGCAAAGCATCATAATCTAAACTGAACCCCTCAAAATCGCAAGTATAGTTATGAATAAAAACAGTAATGAAAGAGGACATTTTGAACAAAATTTATTAATTTCTATTAACAATGATAGAATCCCCATGGTTCAGGAGACAAAAAATCTAGGTATCGTATTTGATAGCTCGCTTGGCTTCGAAAGTCACATAAAAAACAGAATGAATATAGCCTACATGCGACTAAGAAATATTTACAAATTGAAAGACCATCTATCAGCCAAACAAAAATATTATTCATGTAATACTTTGATTTTATCACTTTTTGACTATGGAGATGTCGTCTATGGTGATTCGTTATCGTCGCGAACAAAAAGATGCATACAGAAAGCTCAAAATAGTTGCATGTGATTTGCTTTCCATACCGAAACCATATCACTTCTTATTTGCATAACTACAACATATTAAACATGCGTTATAAAAACAGGTCAACCGCCCTATTTAAGAAAAAGGTTTGTGCCTTAGCTCGTGCCCAGGGAAGCAGAAATAATCTCAATTTTATCGTAACTAAGCACAGAACGCGTTCCTTCCTACGATCATTTGCTTATGTGGCGGTTCACTTATGGAATAATTTGCGAACTTCATCTAAGAACTCATCGCCAAAAATATTCTTGAAACTTACAAAGACATTGGGTGATATGCATAAAGGCGAGTGGGTTCTCAGAAGTAGCTACTCCATATTGTAGCGAGTAACTACTCCTGTTAGGGAGAGCATACTCGGTTTTGATATGCATAAAATATTTGTCGAGAAACGGAGAGGCTACTCAAGTGCTAATGAAATACTTGAGTACGCACTCTGGTTTTCGAGTTCCGACTTGTATTTTGTTGTCTCGTCGAATTGGCAATTTCTCTATTGCGAGCAGTTACTACTGTATACCGGTAAACGTTTGTGTCGGTGGTGTTTAGGTCGATTATACCTATTCTGAAGACCATTCATCTGAAAATCAAACAGTATTTGTTAATATAATTGAACAGTATCCTGTTTTGTTGGAAAAATCTAACATCCCGGAAATCAAAAATAAACGACGTAAGGCGGCTGAAGAAATAAAAGAAAAGGTAGAAGCCGAATTAGGAGTTAATTATAACGAAGGGCAGATTTGTAAGAAGATTCAAAACATAAAAACCAGATTAAAAGCGAAGACAGACAGATATCAAACCGGAAACAAACCAATAAAATTGAAAGGATGGGAACAAGAACTGTTCAATTTTCTACAAGGAGAACCAAATCCTAGTATTGCTCGATTGCAATGTTAGTTGTATTTTTTTGTTTTTCCATACAGTAGGTATAAGATGTGATTGAGTATAATATATATATATACATCTCAATGAATATAAATAGCATATATTTTAAATTGTGGGTGCTGTTGTGGCAGGTTGCCCACAAAAAAGCATTGATTACACTCCAACAGCCTGTGCTGAAGAAGAAACAATCACCGAAGAAGCATCTGGAAGTTCAGGACCAGTACTGAAAGCTACCACAATGAAAGCCGGACCCAGTAAGGAGTCTTCTAAAACAAAAGGAAAACGGATTAGTGGAAACTGATGAAGCACGAGATTTATCAATAACAGAGCTCCAACGTCTCGTTTTACTTGAACAAATACAAGTGTTTCGGCTAGCTAAGGAACTGCTACTTCACGAGAAAAATATTAATGAATCTGATCCAAATTTATCAACTTTAAATGAAAGTGCAGAAACTGGCAATCCAATTTTCATGAGCCTATTTCCAGGACAGAACTGACAAAAGTACTTCATGTTTCATAAATGTTATTTTTTATTAATTTTAAGAACTTTCTCTTAAGTTGCCATTTTGAAAGTATTATTAATTTTGTTATGAGTAATTAAACATCGTTCTTCAACGTATATCTACATAATTTGTAAATTTGGATCATGCTAGATACTTACTTAGACCCGATAGCCATGAATAATTCTTGATATTGCATCTCTTCTAAATTCACCTCTCTGACGTATCACTCCATCTGCATAGTCAGCACCATGTTGATTATGGATTTCTTCTTGTTCGCCATCTCCCGGTATATCAACAGCAAAATCTTCATCATTAAGGTGCTTAGCCACATTATGCAAGATAAAACAACTCATGACAAGGGAGGGCACTTTTTCTGTATCGACGCGTATTTTGTTATGTGGAATGGGAAATCGCTGTTTTAGTTGCCCGAAACATATCTCTATTATAACTCGCTCTCTCGTAAACAGCCGATTGTATGATCTTTGTTCTGCTGTTTCTGCAATCCTAAAAGGAGTCATGAGCCAAAGAGCTATAACATACCCAGAGTCTCCCAACAAAACAGCACTAGCCCTATTCCATTTCATATATCAGAATTCTTCCATATCCGAGAGTCGTGTACAGATCCTGGCCAAGAAACATCCACACTTGTGAACTCTTCGTTTGAATTGCACGTTGCTTGTACATTTATACTAGCAAAGTTATTTCTGTTCACATATTCGTTTGCATGAATAAACGGGTTCAGAATAGGTATATGGGTGCAGTCTATAGCACCAATAGCTGAAGGAAAATTGAACTTTTCTTGCCACTCATTTTTAGCATTGTGTAGATCTTCACATGTGGTTGGGAATCTAATCCAAATGCTCGACGCACAATGCGTGTTATAACGTTGGAAACGGTACGGGATGCCGTAGATTGATGGACACCAATAGCTTCTCCTATGCCAATTTGAAATCCTGGATCACCCACATATCGTAAAAAAACCCTCATTCTTTCTATATTGCTCAAAGCACCGCCCCTATATTCTTCTGTCTCTCCAAGAAAATGGTTACTTATCCACTCAACATTAACTTTACTAAACCGATATAAGGCCCGATACTCTACTTCCTTTAATTCCCTACGATCTTTAAACACATTCGTAGGCTGATAAGTAGGCATAAATTCGGCCATTTCGTTCACTTCTTATAAAGCTGAGTCTACTACTAAGGTATCTCGCATTTCTTTAAGTATGCACTCAGCGGTCAGAGTGGACGCTCACTTTTATGCATATAAAAATTGAAGTCGGCACTCAAGGAGCGAGTACAGCCTCACGGAAAGAGTAGAAACTTATGAGTGTGAGCTTCTACTTACATTTTTATGCATATCAAATGGAGTGGCTACTTTAAAAATGCGAGTCAAAAGTAGCCACTCGCCTTTATGCATATCACCCATTGTTACAGAATCAGCAGCTACTTTAGCAGCATTTGTGTGAACAAAGATATCTTTTTTATAATTCTACTCGCTGACAAGTTGTATATATAGATTCGTTCTACGCGTCCGTTTGCCGGTTCTGGTGGTTTTTTCTTCGTTTTTGCCTTTTTGTGTCTCACCGCCTTTTCAATTACCTCTTTATTCTTTTTTTTCTGTAATCTGCATAATGTAACGTACAATTTGTGTGTAAACGGGAGTGCATAAAGGTACCAAAATATGTATAGATATTTATTTATATTAATAGTTGATAATATACATATTTTAACTGCATTATACGTTTTAGGTTTTTATTTAATTTGTAGATGGGATTAATACAAGTTGTATATATAGATTTGTTCTACGCGTCCGTTTGCCGGTTCTGGTGGTTTTTTCTTCGTTTTTGCCTTTTTGTGTCTCACCGCCTTTTCATTTACCTCTTTATTCTTTTTTTTCTGTAATCTGCATAATGTAACGTACAATTTGTGTGTAAACGGGAGTGCATAAAGGTACCAAAATATGTATAGATATTTATTGATATTAATAGTTGATAATATACATATTTTAACTGCATTATACGTTTTAGGTTTTTATTTAATTTGTAGATGGGATTAATAGGTTTTTTTGGTCTTCAGGGCTTTCTCGCATGGACTCATTGTTTTAAAGGGTTCCATGTATCGGTTCCATAATCGACAGACTGTCCTTTTCCGTCATTGTTTATTGTAGAATCTCCTTTGATTGTAATGTTTACTCGTGACGAAATAAATATTTTGAATTTAAATTTATATAGGTACAAGGAACTTTTTAGGTGCAAGACTTCATGTGTCAGATACCGTCTTCATACATAGAATACAAGATATAAGCCTGACCATTATGCCTTGTTTGATGAACATTCGCAAACGACAGGATAGTTTACTTGTCTCGGTACTTCCGTTTGGTAACAGTTTATATAGATGCCTGTCATTGTTATATGTTCAAGGCATTCCTATTGATACATGTTTCTGCGAAGTTATTCATGTTCAATTTAGGTAATGCGATTGAACTTTCAGTTTACTCGTAGAATAAATTGTCTTGGAAGATTCCTTCTAGAAGCTGGAGATTGCCAATGAGTATAAAATGTAGGATTAATAATCTTCCAATTATATAAACAAAAAGATATTTCCACTACACCCTTTTATATATTATGAAATTATTCCCGTATAAATGCTGACCAATTGAAGCACGCCTCTGAATCGAAACCACTCAGGAAGGCTATTGTTATCGGGGTACCGGGTACCTGCTACTTCGAGTACCTCCATTGAAAAGCGGGAGATATTGCATTATTTCGGAATTTGTTTAGGGTGTGGTCCTGGAAAGCACAATGGACCCGACTGAAATAAGTAAAGAGATTAGATCTATTGTCCTCATTGTTTTCGTTTATACAGTCAATTACGAACTGCATTGATGGGCTGTAGCGTGAAAACAGATGCTTGCACTTCTTGGAATCGAGAAAAAAATGGCGCCAAGCAGGTCTACTCTGCCCTTCCTCCGCAACGTCGTCGTCATCAGTTCATTAAAAGGTTATATTCGGCACAAATTAGCTGATCGTGGAAAATATGTCTAATAGGTGCGTATGATTACAAGGGTTAAAAGCGTATAAAATACTCGCTGCACCCCCACCCCAAATTTTATACCCTTCGAAAAAATTCCCAAAAATGAGGAGGTCTTTGAAATCTAAAAACCGAAATAAGACGACATTTTGTGTCCGTAGCTCCGGAAAAGCTACAAAACTGTTTCGTCCTTGGCATAGTAGTAATTTCGTTTCAAAATCTGAGCAGTATTTTCCAACGAATAGACGGGCCAAGGAGTAGCGAACAGACAGACAGACGTAAATTGGTGACATGGTTTCTTGTCATTCAACACGATAAAACGTAATATCTTGTTTTCGAAATTTTGAAAACTTGAATAGTGCGTGACAGTATGATATATCCTAAGCAAATCCAAGCCATAAAACCCAACAATTCTCTACTATTTTACAGAATTTGATTACCAGTCTTTAAACTAGCTGAGATTAACTGAGCTAGGCCAAGCCTATTCTGATACAATGTGATTTCGACTATAACAAAGCTTTGCAACGTATTTCGCGTCGCATTATCACATGTTTCAGAATTTTTTTCACTCGTGTGCATGTGACATTCACACATTCTGGGACCACATTAGAGGTCCGCCAGGTAATACCTCCACGCTCGACGGTCTGACACCTACGTTACAGGCATTGACGACATCCATAGCCAAAAAAACAATTTCCTTTAATTGCCATTAAGCCACCGGATTGCCCAATTCAAACAAGCTGCAGCCACATGCTGTAAAATATGTGCCCGTCACGTGCATCTGCAACTTGTGTAAATGGAAAAGTACCTTAACAAACACGGTTGGTAGCCCTTTAAGTATAAAGATTATGATACATCCATTACTAACCGCGAGTTATTCATTCATTATAGCATAATGTCGACCAAGCTTTATAATTCCAAACCTGATCGGTGGTAACTACCTGTATGGTGCCAAATAGCTCCATTTCAACAAAACGTGAGTGACAAAAGTAATTACAAAGAAACATTCAACGTCAATCTTTAGTATAATCAAAGGCATTTATGAATAAAGCAATCAAACGCTATTAGGTCATTATTAGCTATTCGTTTAATGCCATTGATAACATAAATCGCTAGTCGTCTAAATACCACATCATCAAGCCCAGAATGGTAATAGTAGTAATTAAACGTAAAATTCCAAATCGCCATTGTAATTGCTAGGAGGTTTTCAGTCGTCACAATTGAGCGGGGGAAGGAAAAATATATTGTATAATTCAAGATCAGGTGGGTGGCACCGTGACACACATACATAGAAATTGTGTTCAATTAACTCAAAGCGTTATCGTCGTAACCAGTAGCAGGCCTAGGATCTCTGGGTATTGAAGTATAAAGTTCGTACGGGACCCCGTGCGTGTTAGTTGAAAAGAGGGTGCGTAGTAAGAGTATCGTAGGTACATAAACTTTGTCTACTCTGGGGCCCCCATAAATCACGTACGGGGACCGACACACTGCGTCGTGAGTGTCATCGCCTCTGCTCGAGTAATACTCATATGTATACCAGACACTGCGATGTAGTTCTATGCCTTTTTATACTTCAGGTTTAACGTTACATTGATATTGGAGTACCTAAAACATCGTAATTGTTCTTTGAATTACTTCGTATCGCTGGTTAACTTATAAGCTAGGTTACTATGACTCGGAAGTTAACTATCAGTTGCCTGTAAATTCGTTTTTCAAGTTCCGCTTAATATCCCATAAACTGTTGATACGTCGATGCTGATTTTATGCCTGAATGATCGGGTTCTATGCGTTTCATGACCACAACATCATAGTTATCCCATATATGGTCATCTGGTTGAGGTTAACTACCGTTTTAGGACAAAGGTTTTTGAGAATAAATTTCTGGTTAGCAGCCTTAGTAACACAAACACCAAAGACGTCAGATATTGGATTCCAAAAAAGTCAGCGATAAGAAATGTGACCATTAGTATCCAACCCAGGCACCGCGCACCGTATAGCCGACCTGAGATGTTTGTTGATAACACCGAAAATGGTAAAATCCTAGAGAAATAACAAACTTGTCGCTATGTACGCACATAGTATTTACAGATTGTTTTCCTGGACGTTTTCACCACGCAACGTAGGTTTATTTAACTCGCACAAGGACCATTTGCAGGAACCTCTATATCAACGAACTAGAAGACCTAGATAGCTCTGACTGTTGCAAATTGAGTAAAAACATAACAAACTCGCGTTTTTGAATAAAACGACGACAATTACTTATCTATAAGCAGCATGTATCCAAGGCGGTACTTGGTACAACCTATATTTAAACTATGCTATAATTGCCTAAGCATTTCTTCCAAAATTCCTACACGTCTCGATATCCCCGCTTATACGGGAATACGAGCCATGATTTCGTACAAAGTAGTTAACCTCTGTGCACATTTGGGAGATATGACCACTGAAAGGGCTTATCAGCCCGTCTGTACGTCTGTAATTTCATGACAAAACAAGCCGACATCCTATCTGATAGCAAGCTTTGTGTACAGGCGTTTGTCGCCACCGTACATTCCACAAACGCCAGTGTGTCTTTGAAGCGGTTCGGCAGTGGTTGCAATATCGCAAGATTTAACAACTACGATAAAAAGGTCTGTTATAAAATTGTTCAGTCAACATTTATTTATCGTCATTTAATTCTTTACGACAACAAGCGAGAAATGTTTATTATAATCGTGAAGGATTCAGAGTTCAATATATATTTTTTTGACGTTTAGCATTGATCAACGTAATCTACCTATAGATATCCATCCCTATGCATGTAGGTACTCAGGTTCCCAGAGATTAATCCAAAATAAGCTAGCACTATTTGTGCGAAAGTATCAGAATACAAAAACGAATGTAAATATGTACTTTAAAAAGAGTGTTTGTTTCTGTTACTGTTCACAGATGGCGCTAGGAGTGTCAATCCTTTGATTGAATGTCCTAGCGCGACCTATGAGACAGTAGCGGAACCAAACACTGTTTTTAAAGTAGATGTTTACATTTTTTTTTTTTTTTTTGGCTTTAGGACTAAGCCATGCAGCCAGAAACTAGGTTGGTATATAGAATATATCTAATTACTTACAAACACACGACGTCACAACATCCATGGCG